AGGGCTGTGTTTACACAAAGATGATGAAACTTAAGTTGTGGGTCCTCTCATTTACGTGAGGCTATTCCAAGGCCCTGGATGTAATAACAGAAAGCCTCACCGATATAATCACGTGGTCATAAATTTGGAGGGAATTTATAAAAGCAAATAGTCTTTTTATAGCTTAGTTTGGATTAGTAATTTTCTCCTCTTGTTTTTACAGCTCTCCAACTTTTAATGATTTGGTCCCACAGATCCTAGATTATCCCTTGCTGACATAAGAGGAACAATTATTTACATTTGTGGAGTGAATAAATGAAAGTGAAGGGGAACAACTTTATTATTAATTAATATATTTTGACATTTAAAAATCAGCATTCTTGGAAAAAATTTTCCACAAACCATCAACAAATAATGCTAGTGTATAATGTCTGGGTTTGTCAAAGCTCTTATACAAACAAATCATTAGTTGAATCTTTGTACCTACCAGCCCTTCAGATAAATCCAATTTTTAATCAAAACAATGATATTGAAATGTTTACAACTGTGCAGTTTGTAGAAAGGATAATATCATACTCAACTGTTAAACTGTTAGAAGCTAAAACATACCAATTGATTGGCTTATGGTCATACAGTGTCAGTACTGGGAGGCAGCTGAGGGCCTGATACTGAGTCTACTCTTCCCATTATTACATGGAGTTTACAAAAGTATTTAAACAAACTAAAACATAGTCTAAAAACAAGGAATATAAACTAAGGTAAAATTAATAATGCTGTTGCTCCTAAGTGACAAACATTTTTCCTTCCTTTGCTCCCCTTCTTTTCTTTTTTTCTTTCCTTGATGCAGCTTTGAATATTATCCAACTGCCATAAAGCTACAGCTTTTTTTGAAAATTGAACTTAACCTCTACTGAACACAAGATGAAAATGTGGCTGCTGGTTAGTCACCTTGTGATATTATCTTTTACATCCTGTCTATCAGGTAAGAAATACCCTTTGCATGTTATCCATAACTAATGTCTAAATAATCAATATGTGTGTTCATGTCATTAAATCTGATGTAGAAAGTTAGAATATTTTCTTTTGACACCTGGGCCATGCAAATAAATTAATATATATCAAGGTGGACTCTATTTTTAATTTATTTTCAATTAAAATTTAACAAGACTCAGTCCATCTTATGTAGTGGTATGCTGGTAAATGTGTACAATCAGGATCTCTGGGAGGGAAAAAAAAAACACTGCTGAGTAGCATTTGTTGATTCCTGGGGGGTTAATAGTTCTACTGTAGCCTATTTCAACTTGAAAGCATTTAGTGTAGTTTGGAAAAGATAGTTAACAATTCATCATTATATAGTATTTTCACTATATAGATACAATAGACTTAAATAACCTTATTAGCATAAATAAAAGTAAAATATGGCAAAATAATTAGTACTTGGTTTTAAGCTTTTGTTACCTTTCTTTATTTAGTTGTGGTTAAGTTAATATAATTTAACTTATATTAACTGGCTAGTCAGTCTTATGAAAAACAATTTTAAAATAATCTAAAAATATGTGCAGGCACATTAAAAATAACAAAGCAGTTTTAAGAATGCTGCAGTTTTTAGGACAAACAAATACTATTTTTCAAAGACAGATTTGAAGGATTCGGAAATCTTTTCTACACGGAGAGGTATATCGTATTTCTCTCTGAAGCAGCATGTTTTCTACCATCAGTTTTTGTAATACCTCCATCTCTATTACCTTAACTAAGTAAATACTTGTTGAGTTGCTATTAATTCAAGACATAAATGGATCCTATCATTTAGCAATCCCCAGTGATTGCTTAATGATGCACTAATGGACATTCTATTGTATCTTATTTATTATAATAGAAATTAAAAATGCTATTTTATTTTGGGGAGTAATTAATATGACTTAAGAATCCCAAAAATCTATAATTTAAGCAGTACTTAAAATTTTAATGACATTGATATAACAACAGAAATTATACATATATATTTATATGCATATATACATATGTTATGCAAATATAATAAGGAAAATTTTCGATGTAGGGTTATTGTCACTGTCTTATTTTTATGAATTAAATAAAACTAAAATAATTTTATTAGTACTAAATATTCATTCTAATTTTTTTGACCATAAATTTTAACACCACAACTTTAAACTGCAAAGACAAATGTCTGCAAAGCTGCTTTGGTACTTTAACCTTAATAGTAAAGGACAGGTAATTTCATTTCATTAACTAGTACCTCAGTAGTTGAGTAATATTTGAAACCACAACTTGAAGAGCTGCTTTGGGATTAAAATCCTTTTTCTTTCATTTTTAGAGTTTACATGGCACAGAAGGTACGGTCATGGAGGTAAGTTGATGAAAGGGTAAATTTTAAAAATAACTTTCCTCAAATGGATCATATTTCATCTGTGTTTTAAGCTACCTACTCTATAAACGTAAAGCCAAATGATTAATGTTAAACCCTGTGGAAATTTTGTAAGAAGCTTTATCTGGAGTTATAAGGCAACGTGTTTGATGGCCAAAATGAATGAATGAATGGATATAAGAACATAAATATCCTATTAGAGTAGTTATGTTCAACCTTTTTAATTTCATGGCATACATAAACTAATTACTAAAATTCTGAGGCACACCAAAAAAATATATTTTTGCTGATCTGACAAAAGGATAGGTATAATTTTGATTCATTCACTCCGGATGGCTATTTTGGTGTTGGCTGTTGCCATTTTGTTTTCATAGGACATTATAAGGGAAAAGAGGTTCATGCCCTTGACTAAATAATCAAGTATTGCATATTTTAAAAATTCTTGAGGACAGCAGTTGAAAATCACTGTATTAGAGGCTTGCAACAGGTGGAAAATAGTCAATGTGGCCTGTGTTGTTCCTGTATTCTTTGTAACAATCTTATGCTACTAAATTTTGCAATAATATTTTAAATATTGTAAAAACCTAATTTATTTTTTAGTAAGTTAAAAAAAATTAACTTATTGAACATTAGAGACAGAGAGAGAGAGAGAGAGAGAGAGAGAGAGAGAGAGAGAGAACTAAAGGTAATAGACTTAGAACCTTAAGGTTCAGTTTAAGAAGGAGTCCAAAGATGTTGCAAAATGTTTTGTTAGTTATAGACTACTAGTGGCTCAGTGCAAGAAATTTGAGCACAGAGGCGGGGTGTCCCTCAGCCCAGCCTGCACCCTCTCCAGTCTGGGACCCCTCGGGGGATGTCCAACTCGCAGTCTGGGACTACTGGCTCCTAACTGCTCGCCTGCCTGCCTGATCGCCCCTAATCCCTCTGCCTACTGGCCTGCTTTCCCCCAACTGCCCACCCCCGGCTACCAGCCTGATCACCTCCAACTGCCCTTCCCTACCGGCTTGATTGCCCCTAGCCTCCTCTGCCTCAGCCCCGCCACCATGGCTTTGTCTGGAAGGTCTCCCCGAAGGTCTCCAGGTCTAATTAGCATAAAACCTCAGTTTTCCAATATGCAAAAGTCACAGGATTCTTATGAGGATGTAAAACTAAGAAAAAGATGTGACAATAGATTCTAGCACAGTAACTACATAATAGGGGCTCAGTAAATACAGTCAAACTGGTAACATAAAAGCCACTGCTCAGTGGGAGGAGAGCGAATACTCCGGAAGGATCACTGAGCATCCATGGCTACAACTTACATGAAGCAGCAAGGATATTCATGCCCGGATACCCATAAAAAGCAAGGATACTTATAGAGAGCTTCCACTTTTGGGTGGCTATAAGGATTAAGGGAAAGGAAAGTCTTAGCCTGAATTCCACCAAAGCTATGTTCGTTTCCACCTCATTAGCCGGGAATCACCACATGTAGGCTATATAAAGATCATTACCTGACTTAACCTTACCACAGAATAGGGAATAAGAAAAGTTAAGTAATAGATTTATAAGAAAAATATAAAAAACACTTTAGCCCTAGCTGGTTTGGCGTAGCGAATAGAGCATCGATCTGCGGACTAAAGGGTCCCAGGTTCGCAACTCCACATGCTGGGGTTGCGGACTCAATCCCCAGTAGGGAGTGTGCAGGAGGCAGTTAATCAATGATTCTCTCTCATCATTGATGTTT